GCTTGGTGTAATTAAGAAAATAGGCATCGGGTTTGTTGAGGTTATAATCACCCAATTGTAGACTTCGATTGTTTTTGCTTAGTCTTATCGATATAAGGTCAAATTCTTGCAGGTTAGCTGTATTTCCTTCAGGCTGAAAAGGAACTGTATTATCGGTAATGGCAGCTTCAATTTTGATACTATCCAACAAATAACCGTTTACTTGTAGGTTAAAATTAGAATTAGAAACAACATCTTGATTATTGCCTAGTGATAAGCTGCGTCCGTAACTTCCGTTCAACTCAAGTTGGTCGTAGTCAACAAATTTATCGCTCTTTTTTTTATACTTGTCATATTCCGAAGAGGAGAAAAAATAATTTGAATCCACTAAAGCACGATTTTTGTGCTGGTATACTTTTGTAAAATCGATGGGCAATTTTCGGTATCGGATATTGACAGAATCTGTAAGTGGATGTTTTCGCCAAACAAGCATTGATCGTAGCGGATACAAAGTATAATTACTTGTATCAAAGCCTTCAATTGTAAACTCGCTAATGGCAAATGAATCAATTTTAAGAGAGTCTTGAACCGCAATTTTTTTGTACACCAAATTGCTCCATTCTTGTACGATGCCCTGTCCGCGCGATATATTTATCAGCGAAAAAAGGCATATCCACAAGAGTGCAATTTTTTTTAGCAACACAAAAAAGATGAAAGCAATAGCTTTTTAAAAATATTTGCAAGATACGCTTTGCCTTGTTTTTGCTTCGCAATAAATTAATGACTTAAATATCCTAATGCCACTAAATCTTTAGGACTAGGACACAAATGTGTTTTTGCATCTTTGAGCAAATATATTTTGTCGCTAATAGGCAATACAGATTGGTAAAGATGGTCGCTGATGATAAAACCTTTTGTCACTTTTTCTTCTTTAATCCAGCGGCAAATATGTTCGATATTTAGGGGCATTATATGAGTGAATGGCTCATCAAGCATTACAAACAATCCCTTCTTTTTGACGACGATATAAATTTCTATTAACCTTTTTATTCCGCCCGAAAGTTCCGATATCTTGCTTTTTTCTCGCCCTTTCAATTCTTTGATGTCTTGTGCCAAAGCATCAAAGGACAATTTGTACAAATCAAATACTTTTTGGAGACTTATTTCTGAAGGGATAAAATGATGCTGCGGTAAATAGCTAAGCCCTATAGGGCACTCTAATGCAGGTTTTATGTTTTGTCCATCGATACGAACCGAATAATCTGCAATCTTCTCCGTCCCAAAGGCTATTTTCATCAAGCTGCTTTTCCCTTCCCCATTTCTGCCTAACAAAGCGATTACTTGCCCCGTATCACAACGAAGATATATGTCGCTCAATATTTTGCGCTGACCATATTGCAGTTGAATGCTATCTATTTCAAGGCTGTGCATGATAAAAAATAGTAGGCGAACAGAAGGGAAGGTATAAAAATGCTTAAATCAATCAGCAGAGAAGCTGTCCAAAGCTTTTTTGTGGAAATGCCTAGATTGTGGTAGAAATAGAATTGCTCTTTTCTGCTGTTTTGGATATAGAAATAGATAATGATTGAAGTAACAGCTTTGAATAAAAGCAGAGCAATAATAATGCTCAATCCATTTTTTACAATTAATGAGCAACAGATAAGAGAGATGAGGTTGCTTGCAAATGCAAATGATTTATAAAATTGAAAAACACTTTTTACCATGCCAATAATTTTTCAAATCGCCCAATTATTAAATTACCGAATTACTTTCTCTTCTTTCTAAAGTCTCCTCTCTTCCAGGCTTCTATAAACTGCCCCCATTTGATTGGGCTAAGAATGTTCATAGGTTGTTGTTGTCCGGAATAAGCTGCGCGATATGCAGCGTTTCTTTGGGCATAAGATTGAAATTCCTTGCCATCAGGTGTCAGCATCATGCTCATCATACGCATCATGGCTAAATTACTGTTTTTACGTGCTGTCTCGTATAGGTCATCTTCAAGAACTAAATTCTGAAATGCAAAATTGAAGTTTTCCTTACTTGGCAAGGCGTGTACCACCGTTTCGTTAAGATAAAAGGTATCCTGACTTAGTAATTGTACCATCGAAATGGTATTTCCTACAATATTTTCGGGTATGATATAATCTTTACTAGCAAATCCCAAAGAACGAAATTGTAAAGTATCACCTTTAAAACAAACCAAAGCAAATACACCTTGAGCACTTGTAAATGTTCCTTTATTTTTATTTTTGACCATCACCACTACATCAGGTATTCCATATAAACTATCACTAGTCATCACCACTCCGTTAATTTGTATTAGTCGGTCGTAACTCACTTGAGCTTTTGCTTCTACTTGACAAAAAGCAGTTGCAATTGTCAATAAAAAAATGCTCTGATAAAGGAACTGGCGCATAAATGGTTTAATTTAAAACAAAGGAATCACTATTAACAATGCACGAATAAAAAAACAATTCTTACATTATGTTACAAAGGAAACGTGTATCGCTTAGTTTTGCACACTAATTATTCAATTTAACAAACGTTTTTGATGATAACGAAAGAAGCAGTTTTAGCCGCTTTGGGCAATGTTGACGACCCCGATTTACACAAGGATATTGTGACTCTTGGCATGGTGAAAAACCTGAGTGTTGAAGGCAATAAGGTAGCCTTTACAGTAGAATTGACCACTCCAGCTTGTCCTATGAAGGAGATGATAGAAAAGGCTTGTGTGAATGCAGTAAAACTTATGGTGAGCAAAGAGGCAGAGATTGAGATTACCATGAGTTCGCGCGTAGTGTCTAACCGTAAAGACAGAAAAGATGTATTGCCTGGAGTAAAAAATATAATTGCCGTAGCATCTGGCAAGGGTGGGGTAGGTAAATCTACAGTGGCGGTCAATCTTGCACTAGGATTAGCAGCCGAAGGAGCCTCTGTAGGCTTGATGGATGCAGATATTTACGGTCCTTCAGTACCAATCATGATGGGTATCCGCGATGAGCGACCCAAAATGACTGAGGTGAATGGCAAAGGAATGATTGTGCCGATAGATAAGTATGGCATTAAAGTAATGTCGATTGGTTTATTGATAGACGAAAAACAGGCGGTAATTTGGCGTGGACCAATGGCTAGTTCGGCATTGAAGCAATTTGTAACCGATGTGCTTTGGGGCGAATTAGACTATTTAGTGATTGATTTACCACCCGGCACAGGCGATGTCCATTTGACGATTGCCCAGACCATACCCGTAACTGGTGCAGTAATCGTGTCTACACCACAGGCCGTGGCAGCTGCCGATGCACGCAAAGCAGTGATGATGTTTAAGCAAGAGCACATCAAAATTCCGATTTTGGGTGTAATTGAAAATATGGCTTATTTTACCCCTGCCGAGCTTCCCGACAATAAATATTACATTTTTGGTAAAGGCGGTGCCGCTAAAATGGCCGAGCAATTTGGATTACCTTTCTTGGGCGAATTACCTTTGGTGCAGAGCATCCGCGAAGGTGGTGATATGGGTATCCCTGCGGTGATAGATGAAGATTCAGTTGCTCGTCTCAAATTCCTTGAGCTTGCCCGCAATGTGGCACAGAATGTTTCTATCCGTAATGCGAGTATGGAGCCCACTAAAGTTTTAGAAATCAACTAGTCATAAAACATAATCTTCTGAATGCCCTCAAATTTTAAAATTTGGGGGCATTCGGCTTTTTGCTGCTATTGGACTAGGTTTCGGGCTGTTGCTTATTTCACAACCTCTTCCCCTGTTTAGGTGATTACCCGAAGGGGGAAGGGGTTAAAACTGTTTACCCCTCAGTCCTGCGGACAGCTCCCCTACAAGGGGAGCAGGTTGAAATCTATAGCCACCATTTTCCAAATGTTCACAAACAAAATGCTACAAAATTAACTTGCTGTTGGGCTTTAATCTTGCCTTCGGCTCAATGTAAATGGGGGGAAACTCTTCCCCTATTTAGGGGAAGCCCCCGAAGGGGGAAGGGGTTAAAACTGTTTACCCCTCAGTCCTTCGGACAGCTCCCCTACAAGGGGAGCAGATTGCAAGCAATAGCCATCATGTTTCAAATGTTCACAAACAAAAAGCTATTAAATTAACTTGCTGTTGAGCTTTATTCTTGCCATCCATTCAATATCAACAAGGGCTAAATATGTAATTTTCTTTAGATCTGAACAGCGTATTATTAATTACCAACTCTGCTTTTCAGCTAATGTAAGATGAATTGTATCTTTAATTGGAAAGATCTCATAAAGAATGATTTTATCTTGTTTTATTGTTGAAATTATAAATGTTCTATAAGGGTATTCTCCTCCCAAAATTTTCAACGTATCATTGTTAACCGACCAGTGTAAGTCCTTAATAATTTAATCCAAATAATCTGGCTTTTCTTTTTT